GGTCAATGACCTTTGACCGGTAACTGGGCGTCAATTGGACATTTTTACCCTTGCTTCTTACACGTGGGCCCTCACCAAACGTTATCTCCTCACTCTTTCTTCTACCTCGCGAAGGCGCATGGACGGGGGTGAGGTGAAACACCGGCGGCAACGAAATTTATCTGGGGCTCAGGGAGTGATGTCGCACGTTAGGTGCGCGGATGTGCAACTCGGGCATGTCGTCCGCGAGCTCTTCGGCCGCCGGGGAGGTAAGTTTTGCATATCTGGTTTGTGAATTTTTCATTAGGGCTTGAACTCAGTTAGGGGAATTTATCGATCGTAGGTCGATGGGGTCGGGATAGTGCGGTTCTCCTCCGAGTTCTACATGCCGGATCCAAGCTTTTGCAGGCTTGAGAAGTGTTCCAAACACCGGTGCCCGGGCCACGGGCTCATTCCCGCTCGTTGTGCGCCTGGGGAGGAGCAAGCACAGGGAGACGTTTCCTTGGTTGCCCACATGATGTAATTCACATATATTTTCTCTGTTTTGCCTTACATTGTTGCCAAGATTGCATTTTGATGACATTATTGATGTTGCAGCTTCCTGATGAATGTGAATTGGCTGTTTGGGTTGACCCTCCTCCTCCAAATCGTGTTAACATGCTTTCGAGGAACTACATGTTGGGCTAGAACGAAGTTGGCTCAAAGCTCATCGTTTAGAGAAGAGGGTGGCGCATCTAACCAAGCTGATGGTAACATGGGCATTTCTGATGATTGTTGGCATATGCATTGTGGCCTATTTATTTCCTTCAAAGAATGCATATTAAGTGATGATGTAGGCAGTGAGATTTTAATGATTGGTTGCTGAAGTTGAGTAGAATTTTCTGTGAGTTGTTCTTGGTAGTGAACCTTTGATGTTGCACACATTTTGCAAAGGAAATGACAAGCATCAGTTTGGTCTTACAACAACAATTTAAATTGCAAGACCGTACCAGAACATCGCAAGTTTATGTGAATTTAGAAAATGATCAAAACTTGATCACAGAGCACTTCACAGGAACAACCCACATGATTTAAGACCAACAACAACACATGGTCAATAGCCAGGATCAGCAGCAAGATATGGCCGACAGCAACACATCAATTAAGATAGTTGTACAGATGTTCAACAGCAACAACATCATAAGTCACGCATAGTTCACACAGCAAGATATGACTCGTGCTGACAGCTCAAGCCATCAAAAGCCAGGGGACTCCTCACCCGCCATGCCGCAGGAATCCGGATCCACGGCCGGTGCCGGGCAACCGAGCCACCAGTCTGCGTCGCAAAACTGCCGCCGCTCACCGCCTCCGCCACACCACCATGATTGCCGCTGTTGATCTCCGCTACCGCGGCTGCAGTTCGTCACCGCCCTCCAGAGTGAAACATACAGAGATAATTAGTTTAGACTTGTGTGCTTCATGAGTTGCTTTGGTTGGGACGAAATAGAGTATACCTGGTACGGTGTGATGAACGGCTAGTTGGCCCAGCAACGAGTCAACCTAAGCCAGGGTGGCTGGCTTCCATGGTTGGCATGTTTGTCTTAGCATTACATTACGTATTTTTCTACTCTATACCCCGCTAATCATGGACCAATCTGCTTACTTGTTCCGTTCTTGCGCAACGTTGACCTTGGCGCCAATAGTTTGGAGGTGTGCCTGCAAGCTAGCCATTGGATGGGGTGGTTTGACTTGAGGTGAATAGACATATAATTGCGTGTCAAATGATAAGGTTTAGTATCACATGTACGTGCAAGTATATTGGCTGCATGACTCTTTGATCTTGAGATGGCTAACCGCTCATCCCAAGCGCCTTTGGTTGCATTGCATGACTCTGGGTGAAGGCTCTACTTATATGTCGCGGAACGTGTACTTTGTTGTCCTAGTTAGCACCCCTCTTAAGTTCTGGGTGGACAGGTTGTGCCATGTCAGCACGTTGTCGCCGTGAACTGGAGCGATCATCGCGGAGAGCAATGGCGGCCCCGTGGTTGCTGCTGCTGCTCTCCCTGGCCGGCGGCGTCTCTCATGTTGGTGGCCAGAGCGCGCCCGACAGCACTGGTATTGAGCCCCAACATCTCGTACGTTATGCTAATTCAACTCGCAGGCAGGCAGGCAAAGGCTCAAGCATCATGTCCATGCTCTCAGGTTTCATCAGCATCGACTGCGGCCTCTCAGAGCAGAGCAGCTACGTTGACGGAGCCACCGAGCTGACCTACACCTCAGACGCCGGCTTCATCGACGCCGGCTCCAACTACAACGTCTCGGCCGAGTACATCGACCAGTCCCACCGGAGAAGCCACCGGCAGGTGCTCAGCCTCCGCAGCTTCCCCGGCCCGCCGGGGCGGCGCGGCTGCTACGCCCTCCCATCTTTCGTAGCCGGGACGTCCAAGTACCTGGTCCGGGCCACCTTCATGTACGGCGACTACGACGGTCTCAACAAGCCCCCCATCTTCGACCTCTACGTCGGCGTCAACTTCTGGAAGACGGTGAACATCACGAAACCTGACGCGGTGCACGTTGCGGAGGTCATCGCCGTCGTCCCGGACGACTCCGTGCAGGTCTGCCTGGTGAACACGCGGTCCGGGACGCCCTTCATCTCGTCGCTGGAGCTGAGGCCGCTCAAGGACACGCTGTACCCACAGGCGAACGCGACGCAGGGGCTGGTGCTCGTCGCCCGGCACAACTTCGGCGCCGCCGATCTGATCAGGTACCCGGACGACACGTACGACCGTGCATGGGTCCCGTGCACCAACCCGGAGGACCAATGGACTACCATCTTGACGTCCTCCAAGGTGGCCATGGAGGTGGAGGATCGCAAGCCGCTCTATGACGTGCCCTCGCTGGTGATGCAGACTGCCGTCCGGCCGACCAACACCACCAGGAACGTCATGTGGTTCCCCTGGGACGCCGAGCCCAACCACGTCTACCCCATGCCTGGGTGCGCACATGATCCAGCCAAAATCCTTTCATATTAGCAGTAGTACTTCACAGCATAGCATGAATTGCGACTTCAAGTTTCAACCAAAAGCTTGCATTTGGGTAAGTGGTAATTTGCACGTACGTACCCATTGCAGGCTCCTGCCTGTCTTCTATTTGGCGGAGCTGGAGACCGTGGACAGCAAGCAGGAGCGGCGCGTGTTCCTCATCAGCCTCAAGCGCCCCAACTCATCTGCTTCGTGGCTCATAGGCGACTTTGATTACCTTGTCACCACCATCGTCTCCAGGACTACCGGACGACCCGTCCCGTTCATCAGCCCCAAGGAGAACCTCGTCATACTAGGAGCCGCCAACGCCACAACACTTCGGCCAATCATGGAAATCAACTCCACAATACTGCCGCCGTTCATCAACGCCGCCGAGCTTTTCACCCCTATTTCCACCGCCGGGGTTGGGACCGACGCTCAGGATGGTGAGTACGGAATCATACTCATATCATTATATCATATTATACCAAGAAAAAGTTGCGCCTCCATATAATTTAGAAAAAAATAAGCAAGGGAATTCAAAATATATCCATGATGAAAGCCAACCGATCATACCGCTGTCAGTTGATGACTAGAATTTTCTTACTCATATACATAGATGTGGATGAGCTGACTTGCGCTATTTATTTTTCTGCTTGTGTGTTACTGAAAAAATAGTATCTGCCATCACTGCAATTAAGGCTAAGTACCGGTTGATCAAGAACTGGGTGGGTGACCCATGCGCCCCGAAGAATCTAGTGTGGGCTGGACTGAACTGTAGCTATCCCATTTCCAGACCTCAGAGAATCACAAGCGTGTAAGTCTGCATATATTTGTCATAAAATGAGTTAAACATACAATTGTGCTGTCTAAACCACCATGCATTTCTACAGAAACATGTCATTTGGTGGTTTGAGTGGTGATATATCATCCTACTTCGCCAATCTCAAAGCTATCCAGTACCTGTAAGTGTGGTATTTTGAATCCATTTTCACAATGAATTTTGGTAGTGCAGTTCACATATTGTGCATGTTGTCATATGTCAGGGATTTGTCACATAATAACTTGACAGGATCAATTCCTGATGGTCTTTCACAGCTACCCTCTCTCGCGCTACTGTAAGTACTTCTGAATCATGCTAATTTTGATATCTAGTACACCCTCTGTTCCTAAATATAAGAAGTTTTTGCAGTTCAAATTGAACTGCAAAAACGTATTATATTTAGGACTAGAGGTAGTAGTATTTTAGTTGGAACAATATTAAGATTGATGTGCCTACTACCCTCCATACTATCCATTTTTGCAATTGACTCTAAAAATAATCCCTTTGATTTTTGTTAATCAAAGTGGTGACTCCAAAAATTAGACGTGTCCTTCCAATGTGAGTGTGTTAGTATTGTGTATACTTACGGCACTTTTCCTCTAATATCAAAACTATTTGGTTCCTTCAGAGATTTGAAGGGCAACAAGATTAGTGGAACGATTCCGTTCGGCCTTCTGATACGAATTCAAGATGGCAACCTAACTCTAAGGTTAATCCATCATACTATATGTTTCTGATGCCATTTATTTTTTCCAACACCATGCTAATGGTTTCTTCTTTTTAATAGATACGACCAAAGTTCAAACCTTTGCAGCAACAGTACTTCTTGCCAGCCTACAAAAGATCACCGAAACTCTAAAACCACCAGCTACATTGTTGTTATAGTGGCCGCTGTGGTTGTAGTAGGACTAGTGGCACTACTACTCTTTTTCATAATGGGAAGAAACCAAGGTGAGCCTAAGAGACATTTGGCATTAACACAACAACTGTTCTACCCATGTCCATCTGAAACCGCAAGCAATGGTGATGATGCCATGGTGGGTAATACTGTTTCGTTCTTAATTTCCATATGAAGGACCAGCAAATATACATAATGAGAGTGACGTGCAATCGCGCAATCGTCGATTCACATACACGGAACTGAAGGTGGTAACATCCAACTTCCGGCGAGTGCTCGGGGAAGGAGGGTTTGGTCTTGTCTATGATGGCTTCTTGGAGGATGGTACTCAAGTTGCAGTCAAGCTGCGGTCTCAATCTTCCAATCAGGGTGTAAAAGAGTTCTTGACAGAGGTAATGCATGATCGAGCATGTCAATAGTCACCTAGATTCGTTTGGACAGTATCTAATTAATCTGTTTTCTTCTGGCTCAGGCACAAAACTTAACAGGGATTCATCACAGGAATCTAGTCAGCTTGATTGGTTATTGCAAGGATGGGGAGTACGTGGCCCTTGTATATGAGTATATGTCCGAAGGAGACCTCCAACATAAACTCAGAGGTCATTTCAACTCTAGGAGCATTTGGAATCTCCATTTTCAAGTTCCCCAATGCTAACACTCACCATGTTCTGCAGGGAGAGATCACAATGATGGATGTTTAACCTGGAGACAGAGACTCCATATTGTACTGGAGTCTGCGCAAGGTATACACTCTTCTGGTTTGGATTATGTTATCCCATCATTTGTTGCTTTTGGTCTCTAGGAATTTGCATGCTAGCACATGTGGAGTAGCCAATGTCAATGGTATGATGTGCATGCAGGGCTCGAGTATCTGCACAAGGCATGTAGCCCGCCTTTCATACACCGGGATGTGAAGACGTCAAACATCCTACTGGATGCAAATCTAAAAGCTAAGGTTGCTGATTTTGGCTTGATGAAGGCTTTCAATCAGGACGGTGATACCCATGTATCCACAGCCAGGGTGGTTGGCACACCAGGGAGTTATTTACCCAAAACCACCATACTTGGGGCTAGGGTAACCGGTCAGTACCACATTTAAGCCATGTCACAAAAAACCACCAACTCTAGGACTAATCGGTACCGCGGAGCACTGACTGGTCGTTTTAGCCATGGAAACAGCGAAACCGACAGGTCGGGCCCACCTGTCGGGTCGACGTGGCGCGGGCTGACGGACGCCGTTAGACGGAGGGGGGCGGCCGTTTCCGCGACCGTGTATTAGTGGGCCGTGCGGGTCGCTCGTCGGACCAGACCGCACCAGAGCACATCCGACCCCTCTGTCTCGACCTCGACGACCGCCGCCGCCGCCGCCACCGTCGTCTCGCCGCCGTCCGCCGGTCCGCCATGGTTTCCTGGAGCGAGGGGTCAAGCTCTTCTTCTTCGGACGACGAGTCAGTGACTAGCCAGGTACGTTCATTTGGGGATTCCAACATTTAGGGTTAGGGTTAGGGTTCTTGAGTTGGGGATTTCTTACCAAGTCGCTGATTTCTTCAATCTCTTTGGTTTTAAGCTTCCTAGGACTATCCCATGCTATGAATGGAGTGGCATTGCTCGTGAGCTCTCCTCTCGCTGTCTGCATCGCGAGCCTTGCCTCAGGCTAGTAGCATTTGAATCTACGAACACTGGCCGACGTTTTCTTGCTTGCGCTGAGGAGAAGGTATGTTGGTTAGTACTGTATTTAGTTAACCTTAGTTAGTTTTTGCTCCATTCAAATGCTAGAAGGAAATTTTGCTCTGCTTATTAGTGTGAACAATTGTCATTGCCCACAGTTGGATTTAATTATGCTCTTACAGTAGTAAATTATGCTACGCCAGTGTAATTTGCTCCAAATAATTAAGTAGTGTACAACATTGTTAGTGCCAGTAGGAAATTATGCTATGGCAGTGTAATTTGCTCAAATAATTAAGTAGTGTACAACTAGTGTACAACATTGTTAGTGTCAGCACTAAATTTTGTACTTACTAATGACAACATATATTTAGTTTATATGATGTTAAAAGTGACAAAATTTTCTTATTGACAACACATATTAATTTGATAGGCTTTCTTAATTGTTTGTGCATTTAAATGAACACAATTTGATAGGCTTTCTTATTGACAACACATATTAATTTGATAGGCTCTCTTGTGTAGTATGATTGACAATATTTTTTTCTGAATTATAGGCTGAACTAAAGTGCAACTATCTGGAGTGGATAGACCCTGAGTGGTCAGTGGCTATGCAGTTCCGCCTAACTGAATTGTGGGGCATGTATGACAAAGAAATCAATGACAGGGTGAGAGACAATGTTCAGCTTGGTGATCAAAATTACAAATTAGTTGGAGAAAAGAGGAAGATGAAAGAAGAGCTGAGATTTTTCAAACTTGATTTTGCAAAAATGGTGGCTGACAAGGAGGATGCTATTACTGAGCTGGGCAATACTAGGTTGGCTCTCAATGATCTGAAAGAGGAGATGGAGAAGAAGAAGCTGGCAGACCATGGTTGCACAAACCTACATCACTTACTCAGGGCAAAGGCAGAGAAGGAGAGGGACAAGCTTGTGGTAGAGAGAGACCAACTAAAGGAAGAGAAGAAAAAGCTAGAGTACATCATCTCTGATTTGCTGAAACAGAAGCATGGCTACAAGGACAAGATCAAGAAGTTGAAGGAGATCTGTGATGAATTTTAATTATGTAATGTGGCATTGTACTGGTGTAGTTGTGCTCTGTTGCACTGAATAATCAGCCCTACTAGAAGTGCACTGTACTGTTGTAATGGTTAAATTTGTACTGAATTATGCAGTTTATCTGCAAGTCTAGATTTTGAACTTATGGCATGAATTTGAACTTAATTTGTAGTGCTATCTCTTGTATCATATTGAGTACTCTATTATATTTACTTCACTCCAGGTGAAACTGGTGTGATAGTCAAATTATTGTGCACAGAAAAATTTGAAATACTAGTAACTTATGGCATGAGTATACCAGGAACTTTCATTATTATTATGCACATAATGTGATGATCAGGGAGTGCAAACAACATAGCAGTACAGAGTAAATATAGCAGTGCAAGCACATAATTGTAGATAGGTACATGATGATTGAAGCAAGCCAACATAGCAATACACAAGAATAATAGATAGTAGTTCCTCATAGCATAAAACCAAGATCCATACATAGGTTTAGCATAACATTACACAACAGTAGTTGATAGTGGCACACATAGGTTCAACACAGCATTACATATGTTCAAATTTAGTGTTGGCATAGATAAAGTGCTCTAGTGCCCGATGGAGCACACATGCACTTGGATACATAGTCAAACAAGAACTCTCAGTAGTTCCCCCTGGCATAGAAGTACCCCTCCATCCTTTTGCTCATGTATCTTGCCCTTTTCGGTCTATTTCCTATTGGCTGGCTAGTTGAAGCTTCTGCAGTAGTTCTTGGAGGATTGAAGCTTCTTGCACCTGTTTTTGCACCTCTCCTTGCAGCAGCAGTACCAGCACCAGAAGGAGAAGAATTTGCAGCTCTAGCAGATGAACCAGCAGCTCTAGCAGATGTAGCAGCAGCTCTAGTAGATTTGCCCCTTGAAGCAGCAGCAGCAGCAGCAGATCCCCTTGAAGCAGATGTAGAGCTTGCACCCCTAGGAGTTGTTGTACCATATGTTGAGCTTCCCCCTTGCTGCCATGCAGGGGCTGTCCTGTTTTCCTGCAATTATTTTTGTTGGATAAATTTCAATGATACTTAATGAGTGGTGAGATAGAGAAGGAAGTCAAAAATAACATACCATGTGTTTGTTCTTCCTGATTTGCAGATCTGGCCTCAATGGCTTTGCACAACTTGTGTATTTGTGGCCCTGCAACTTGCAGTTACTACAAGTTATTGTAGCCATTCTTGATGTCTGCTTTGCTTGAGGAGGCTCAAACCTGCCTTTCTTCCTTTTCTCTTCTGCTGGTCCCTTCTTGTCTTCTTTGAACTGAGGTGGGTCAATGTCAGGAGTTGCAGTTTTCACCCAACAATCAGGACCAGGAACTGGGTAAATGATAGGCTTGTATGACTCCAAGTACATAGCCTTTTTGAAGAAAATATTTACATGGTCCTCTGGTAGTTGTTTGGACCTGTAGATGGCAGAACAACCATGGTTGCAAGGAATTCCAGAGATGTCCCACTTCTTACAACCACATGTTTTCAGATTAGTGTCAACAGAGTAGGTCTTATCCCCACTACTCACTTGGAAAAGACCTGGTCCAGCTATCAATGATTTACAGTCCCTTGCATATCTCTTGTTCATCTCTAACCTCTCAACATAAGTTGGTGCAATTTCCCATCTTGAAACTAGTCCACCCTCTCTCTTTTGCTGATACCTTACCAGAAGTTTGTCCTTGATCCCATTGATCATGGTGACAATTAGCTTGTTCCTTACATCAAGTATGTACTTATTAAAAACTTCACTTAAGTTATTGACAACCAGATCAGTTTTGCAGTTAGTATCCATTGCATGTCTTGACCAAGCTTTTGGAGGAATCCTTGACATCCACTCCCAAGCAGCCTTGCACTCAGCCTTCATGCTCTCCATTGCCAACTGAAAGTCATGTTCAGTGTAAGCATATGCAGCTGCATCCATGCATTTCTTCAAGTCTTCTCCTCTGAATCCTGCTCTCTGAAAGTTGGCATAAATGTGCCTCAAGCAGTACCTATGAGGGCAGTTGGGAAAGACTGCTGTGACTGCATTCAACAGACCCTGCAAAGGATTTTGAATTTGCTAAAATGAAATAAATTATCAAAACAAATTTTAATTCAATTTAATTGTTGTAGTAATATCATATTGATTTAATATTACATTGATTTAATTCAATTTAATTGTTGTAGCTTGTCCTATGTTGGCCCATAAGGGTCACCCTAGGCTACCTTGACCGAAGTGTCGACAAGATGCGTTACCACTCGACACATGCCAACTAGGGTAGGTGGGAGGTTGGTTGGGCTATGGTGGTCCATAAGGGTCACCCTAGGCTATCTTGACCGAAGTATCGACAAGATGTGTTACCACTTGACACATGCCAACTAGGGTAGGTGGGAGGTTGGTTGGGCTATGGTGGCCCATAAGGGTCACCCTAGGCTATCTTGACCGAAGTATCGACAAGATGCGTTACCACTCGACACATGTCAACTAGGGTAGGTGGGAGGTTGGTTGGGCTATGGTGGCCCATAAGGGTCACCCTAGGCTATCTTGACCGAAGTATCGACAAGATGTGTTACCACTCGACACATGCCAACTAGGGTAGGTGGGAGGTTGGTTGGGCTATGGTGGCCCATAAGGGTCACCCTAGGCTACCTTGACCACTATACACATGCCAACTAGTGTAAGTGTTCAACAAATTAATGAACTAAATACACTAAATGCAGAACTAATTAGACTAAATACACTAAATGCATAACTAATTAAACAAATTAATGAACTAATTAGAGTACTATTTTAGGGACAAGTGACGATGTAGATAAACTCACCTTCTGTCTATCAGACATGAATGTGTACTTCCCAAATTTTCCCTCTTCAGTCCCTCCTAGGGCATATTTGAGTTGAGTCAAAAACCATGACCAATTTGGTGTGTCTTCAACTCCAACCACTCCAAATGCTATGGGGTGCATATTGTTGTTTGCATCCCTTCCAGTAGCAGCTAGTATTTGTGCCCCACTAGTTAACTTAATGAAACAACCATCTAGGCCTATGAATGGCCTGCATCCATTCAAAAATCCCTCAACACATGCATTCAAACAGAAAAAAAGACCATGAAACCTTGGTCCTGCAGTTGGGTTTTCTCTTATTTTTCCACTCACAGTGCTGACAATGCATCTTGATCCAGGATTTGTAGCCTTCACAGTCTCCAAAAAATCTCTCAGCCTCTTGTATTGCCTCTTGTGATCTCCAAGCACAATCTCCTTTGCTTTCCTCTTTGCTCTCCATGCCATCATCTTGGGCACCTCAACACCAAACTGCCTCTTTACCTTGTCAACTATAGCAGGTACAGTAGTGTTGGGGTCTGATCTGATAGTTTCAAGCATTTTGTTGCCAAGCCACTTGGAGCTAACCCTTGTCTTGTCAGATTGGGTGGGACAGGTGTGCTCCAATACCATCTTCTTAATGCAAAAAGTGGGCTCATTACTAATCTTTGCTGCAACCATGTGGAACTGACAGCCCTCTCCATCACAACACACTATTACCCTATCACTGCAGTTTCTGTGATATTTGTATCTTCTAAGTTGTTTCACATGCAAATTCACAAGAGCCTCTCTAAACTGGTACACATCTCTGAAACAAAGCCTAAACTGGAATTGTTGCTCTGGATGCAGCCTGCCCTCATCATACCAGACCCTAGGTGGTCTTTTCTTAGCTCCGCTCTTTCTACCAGAGGGGATTATAAAAGACATAGGTTCATTGCCATCATCATCAGCTTCAAAGCCTGTATCTGAAGGAAATATGCCCTAGAGGCAATAATAAAGTTATTATTTATTTCCTTATATCATGATAAATGTTTATTATTCATGCTAGAATTGTATTAACCGGAAACATAATACATGTGTGAATACATAGACAAACTTAGTGTCACTAGTATGCCTCTACTTGACTAGCTCATTAATCAAAGATGGTTATGTTTCCTAACCATGAACAAAGTGTTGTTATTTGATTAACGAGGTCACATCATTAGTTGAATGATCCGATTGACATGACCCATTCCATTAGCTTAGCACCCGATCGTTTAGTATGTTGCTATTGCTTTCTTCATGACTTATACATGTTCCTATGACTATGAGATTATGCAACTCCCGTTTGCCGGAGGAACACTTTGTGTGCTACCAAACGTCACAACATAACTGGGTGATTATAAAGGAGCTCTACAGGTGTCTCCAATGGTAGATGTTGGGTTGGCGTATTTCGAGAATAGGATTTGTCACTCCGATTGTCGGAGAGGTATCTCTGGGCCCTCTCGGTAATGCACATCACATAAGCCTTGCAAGCATTGCAACTAATGAGTTGGTTGCAGGATGATGTATTATGGAATGAGTAAAGAGACTTGCCAGTAACGAGATTGAACTAGGTATTGGATACCGACGATCGAATCTCGGGCAAGTAACATACCGATGACAAAGGGAACAACGTATGTTGTTATGCGGTCTGACCGATAAAGATCTTCGTAGAATATGTAGGAGCCAATATGGGCATCCAGGTCCCGCTATTGGTTATTGACCGGAGACGTGTCTCGGTCATGTCTACATTGTTCTCGAACAGTAGGGTCCGCACGCTTAACGTTACGATGACAGTTATTATGAGTTTATGCATTTTGATGTACCGAAAATTGTTCGGAGTCCCGGATGTGATCATGGACATGACGCTAAGTCTCGAAATGGTCGAGACATAAAGATTGATATATTGGAAGCCTATGTTTGGATATCGGAAGTGTTCCGGGTAAAATCGGGATTTTACCGGAGTACCGGGAGGTTACCGGAACCCCGCGGGAGCTATATGGGCCTTAGTGGGCTTTAGTGGAAAGGAGAAAGGGGCAGCCCAAGGTGGGCTGCGCGCCTCCCCCCTCCCCTAGTCCTATTAGGACAAGGAGAGGTGGCCGGCCCCCTCTCTCTCTTTCCCCCCTCGAGGAATCCTATTCCAACTAGGATTGGGGGGGGGGATCCTACT